CAGCCTAATCATGGTCAGTCTCCTGGTGCTGATTTAATAGATTTAAGTTCTCCTCCAGGTGAGAGAATAAGTCTCAGGTAGGAGTGAAGTTCCTAATTGTTTATCCAGTACAGTATTGTCAGCCCGTAAACCATAAAACTACAACAAATAAAACAAACTCATTAGATTATATTAATATATTTCAACATTATTGTTCATATATATTTAACAAGTAAGACACCGGAAGGGAAATACTTAGAAAGGGATGCAGAGAAGACGAAATAGAGTAAAGTCATATAATGTCTTTGAATGAAAATGTACAAGAAACTTTTTTAAATAAAAGAAGTGGGGCTAGAAAGAGTTGACTCAGCAAATAAAGGGACTGGGTATTGTTACAGAAGACTCAGGTTCCATTCCCAGACCCCACATGGTAACTAACCATTTGATGTAACTCTAGTCTCAGGATTCTTGTACCACACATAAAAACATGCAGAAAAAGAACACATATAACCAATTTTAAATAAAAGGTTAGGAAAAGGAAAGAATGGAATTCTCTACAGTGATGTCACTAAGAAGCAGTCAGGGTTAGTTAAATGAACTTCTTATGATCTTGCATGGAAACAGGTGTAGACTTCTTCAGAGCCATCATGCTCAGAGAGTAAAATAGCCTTGTTCTCAGGTTAAAGTAGAACCATTTATCTGTTAACAGATTACTGATAAGTGACTCTACCTTTAAGTTTTCCTTGTTTGTATTCTCTGTCCTTTGTATTTGGGGAATTGTGGTGTGGAACATTTAACTTTTAGATCTCACATCATGACTACCAGGTAAAACAGCCTTCAAAGCAATCTGCTTTCACAGTGTTTTTTTTTTTTACCTGACTTTTCAACTAAGAACTTGTACTGCAAGATAAACTTGCCAGAGACATTTCATTCCATTATTTTATAATTTAACAAATGTTCCTGAAACACTTTGAGATAAGAATGTCCTTAAATGCTTCTGCTTTTAAATTGTGATCATGTTGATTGTATTCAGAAGTAGATTTATTGACCAACTCTGCTGAAGAAGTAGGGAGAATTCCACAGGACCATGACTAGACTCCCTAAGTCAAATCCCCATTCTTTCTGTGTTTAGGAAAAACATTGCTTTGGAAATAGTACCCACGGTCTCGTTGTCACCTGAAGTAAGAAATCTTTCTCACTTCTTTAGTATTGTCTTTTATGATGGCTATTCTATGTAGTCAAACTGACTACCTTCATAATTGACTAAAACCCAAAGAGCTGGGTATACCTAGAAGGGGTTTTTCTTATTAAAGGTTTTATAATGAGATGAACAATCTTTAACCATGATTATTTGATGTGATAAAATCCACCTTTATTAGTTTGTGGTAGTGCACATTTTTAATTCAAGCACTCATGAAGCTAAAGCAGTTTAATATTCTGAGTTTGTGACTAGCTTGCCCCCAAGAATGTGATCCCAGCATGCAAAGATAAGTGAAGTCTCAAAAACAAACAAACAAACAAAAATCAAGAAAAATCTCAATCCAACCTATAATCTGGATCATACCCTGGTTGCAGTCTACTTATATAGGTATATTGAAGAAGAATAACCTCTCTCTATTTGCTTGCTTGCATTACTATGGCTACCAAATTCATTCCTTTAATAACTTTAGAGGGCCTTCTTCTTTGGAATTCTTATGTATACTGAAAATGTGTTTTGACATCCAAACTCATGGATTAAAAGACTACTGAATTCTTTAGATTTCTTTTGGTAGAGAGCCATTGTTGGAATAACTGCACCACAACCTCTGATGCATTCTCATAAATCCACTATCTTTAAAAACAGAAAGTTTAATTCTTCCTGTTCAGGTAGAGAACCTGGAATAATGTATGGATTTTTTTTTTTCAACTGCATATGGAGAAAGGTATGCTGGCTCACCATAGTGCTCATAAAAGCATCCTTCCTAACCCCATTCTCTCTAAGTATTCAACTTCCCTTACCGAGTATCATTTTTATTATTATTTATTTATCAACAGTTTGACATGATATTCAGCAATAAAACACCTAATGCATTGGAAGCTATCATCAGGTCTTTTGGATGGAGAAAAAAATCATCTTGCTTCTGAACTGGTTCCTGGGTTGCTCTCTTGGATGTCTGAAGTGCCTGTGACAATCAGGTAAAATGTACCATCAGTTCTTCTGACGTCAGCCTGAATCAACTCTACAAACTTCATCTTTTGCCTCCTAAATTCTTATTGCTTTTTATATTCTGGAAAGACTTTCTTTCAATGAGGCAGAAGGGAATGTGGCTGTGGATTGCAGGAAGATAGCAGGGACAGCTATTTGAGACAGGGGTATGTGATATTTAAATTCTTATTTCAGTAAATCTGTAAAAGGTCTAGGTCTGATTTGGAAGCCAAGTCTGAGAAAACTTGTGCTGTGTCTTTAAGGACACTGTAAACCTAAAAGAGGTGTTCTTGTCACTCAAGTGTCAATAGCCAATCAGGGCCTCCAAGCTGACCTGTCAGTCAAAATCAGGCAGGACACTTTCTGGCGCCCTGTTACAGGCTTGCTTTTCAAACAAAGCAGGCCCGAGGATTGTGTGCTGTGCTGTGAGTGCAACAGCAGGGAACTGTGAGGAGAGCATGGGTGAACATGGAAGCCACGACATGGTGAGCAATATGTCCCAATATGGAGAGGAGAGGATGGGGAACCACGGGAGATGGTGGAACAGGTCCAATCTGAGCCTGGGTGGAAACCTGAGGCCACAATCTGTGTTCTCTGAGGGCCCACCCATGTGGTCCTTCCAACTTCTCAAACCCAGGAGCTGGCCTCTGAATTAGTTCCTCTGTGGGCTACATCTGTGAAAAGTATTTCGAGCATGGAGCTTTGTGTAGAAACATCCTTGTAGTCAACAACGTGTGTGAATTTGATGCGTATGGAAGGAAAGTTGCCAAACTTGAGAGGCCTAGTTTTTCTAGTATCTTTCCAAAATTCTATGCTTTGCATATAATATGTTGGTGTAAAATCCATTTGAAGTTAATTTTGTGGAGCTTGTAAATGGCATTCTAGCCTTCGATCCAGCTCTACCACTAAGGTGTGAAGTAGAAGATTAAAATTGTTGATAGAAAGGATTCACCAATGCTTAGAAAATATTTAGCTGAGGGAGGGCTGCCTCTAAAATAACTCAAAGTTAAGTAGTATGCTGACTAGGCCTGTTGGAGATTAGGATGCTAGGATACACATTTGTTCACCGGAATCATGAAAACATTTGTCTGTAAACCATGAAAAATTAGATACCCATGATTTACAAACAGCCACCACCCCAATCCCTATATCACAGAACAGGCCTCTAACAAGCAGCTCAAGGCGACATTATAGGGTCACAATGCACATTAGGGCATGGTGTGACATAAAGTCTCAGTTTTCTACGTGACAGCTATGTGAAAAGGGAATGATCAAGCAAGACTTTTCATTTAGGTCCTCACTCATGGAGAAGGAACACAGCTTCTTCTCAAACCTAGCTAGGTACATTCTTGCCAGAGCCTGGAACAGCCTAGTGTCTTGGCCTTAGGAGTTTTTCCCAAGGCCCAGTGTTATGGAGAATAGAATAGAGCTCCTTCATTAAAACCAGGTTTAAACTTGGGAGAGATGGTGATAATCTGGAGCCAGTGAATTTGTGGAGAGGTTCTTCAGATTCTGAGAATTAAATTCTTCTCATCTCATGGAACTACAGTTATCATTTCCAAGGCCACTGTGGACATAGTCCATAATATTCTTGACTTAACCCATGTGCTCCTTTTTCTGCATAGTTTGAGCATCCTTCTCTTGAGTTTGTCCCATTGTATGACAATTGCTGCTGATTTCATAGAATTCTCCTATTTCCTTTGATATCTCCTGGAAATAGTATTCAAGAAGTTATTCCTCTTAGGAAGCTTAATTGGAATAAGACATAGAATATGCAAGACTCCTCTGCCCCAGTTTTTACCTTTTGTTTGTTCTACTTTTCCTATCTTTCTCATCTTCTGGCAGTTCCACATCAGAATTTGTCAGTATAGTATGACCTGTTGTTTTAGGTCACTGATGTACTGATGAAATAATAATGATAATATCTACTGTGTAAGTCTCCCATTTGCCTTACTGGATAAACTTGCAGTTTCCTGTCACTGTTTACTTCTTCAAAGTGTAAGCTAGAGTTTGAAACTTAAAAAAAAAACCTAAGGATTTCAGCTTATGTGGATTGCCAAATTTGTTCTAGGCTCTCTCCTCTTTGAGCACTTGCCAGAGATGAATGGATGCCATTATTGCAGAGATATTTCTGTATTAATCTCATAAATGTGTGGACTGATTTTTCACTGGAAAAAACTTATCTAGAATAGCTGAACTTCTACCCTTTTAGAAAAATGTGTCTGAGACAAGATCTCTAATGTTGACAGAGGTGGCCTTGGTCCCAGGCTGTTGCTTTCAATATCAACGACCTTGCTGTGTTCTTGATTACACCTTCAATATAATTAAATTAAATGACTGTGTGGCCTCAGACTTTTAAAATTATCCACTTGAGTCATGTAGTCGACTATTCATTACACTTGCAGGAGAAGGATTTGAATGTGAAACATGGTTTCTGCCATCAGATCAGAGTAGAAAGAATAGTTTGTTGAGTGCACTGCAGGGGGAAATGGGAGGAAATCAGCAGCTGGAGTCACCAGCATGAACAAAGAACTGATTGTGGCAATGAGGAAGTTTGAATGTTTTTGGCTCCTATAATCTCATAAGAAGTGGTACAATTACAAAGTAATTGTAATTGCTTTGTTGGAATGGGTCATCTTATTGAAAGAAGTGTGGCACCTGGGATGGGCTTGAAGGTTTCACCTGTTATGGATACTACCAAGCATGTCAGTTGACTTCCTGTGGCCTGCAAATCAAGAGGAACCCAGCAAAACATTATCATGCTCCTCATCATGATGTTAAGGAACTGAATGAGCCATCCTGATTAAATATTTTTTTTATAAGGTTATGGTGGTGATGGTGTCTCTTCACAACAATAAAAATCATAACTGAGACAGGCATTTTAGTGATAATTTTTATCATCCCAGAATGTATTAATTCATGTGATGTGAATGAAGACAGATGTGATTTATGAATTTATAATTTCAAAAGTTCAGCTTAAGTCAGTGCATATTGAATTTCCAGTTAGGGAATTGTCCTGGGCATATATGTCCAATTCTGCTTGACCCAGTTAATTCAGCTCTATGGGTTAGAAACAGGCCATTGACTGTAACTTTGTATGTAAGGGTACAGATCTCAGCAGTCAACATGTGCATATGAGTTTTCTTCAATCCTTCTGTCTTTTCCAGGGGAGTCACAAATACAGAGAGATGTGTAAAAGAATTGAGTCCATTTCCAATTCTGAACCTGGTGCAGGCAGAGTGCAGAAAGGAAAGGAAGCAACTGATAGATTTCCAGATTTGGCAGGAGTTAAAGTTAGTAATATGGAGGTTTGTAATCAATTTTTGATGACTGAAAAATGGCATGACTGGCCATTTCTTGAGATACACAGGCAAGGGCAATGAAGAACCTGGATGAAGGTCAGACTTTATCATGAAACCAGATTGCTAGAGTTACACTAGTAGAACCAAAATAGAACATCTGTGTTAAATGACATTGCCCTGCTAACAGAACTGTTGTCCCAGTTTACTAAGGAGATCTCTATTTCCCATCTCCAGGGGGATCTATGTATCTTTCTGTTAGCATTCTCTATTACTAGCTTCCCTGGGATTGTGGGCTGTAAACGTCTTATGTACAGATTTATATCTTATATTCACTTGTGAGTGAGAACATACCATGTTCTTCTCTCTGGGTCTGAGGTACCTCTCTCAGGATGTTGTAACATGAGGGCCGGCTTATTAGGGTTTCTATCCCACCCGGTACCCCACAGCTGGCAAATCCCAAAGAAAATCACACACAGGACTCCATAAGAAGATAAAGCTGATTGGCCCATTAGGTCAGGCTTCTTATTAGTCCTTGTAACTTATATTAACCCATTATCATTATCTATGTTAGCCACATGGCTCAGTACCTTTTCCAGTGGGGCAGCTTACATCTTTCCTCTCCGGTGGTCTGGGCAGAATTGTGGAGGGAGCTTCCTGCTTCCCAGAATGCTCCTGTTCTCTTTGCTCCACCCCTACTTCCTGTCTGGCTTTCCCGCCTATACTGCCTGCCTGGCCAATCAGCGTTTTATTAAAATATGATTGACAGAATATAGACAATTCTCCTACACCATTTCCCTCCTTTTTTTAAAAAAAAAAAAAGTAAAATACCCATAGTCCATTTGTTGGGAATGTGGGCATAGTATTTCAGGCTACTTCCTGCTGGTTGGGGGTGCTGATGATCTTATGGGGACCTAAAGAAAATTTAGAGTTATAATCAAGTCCTGACTGGAGTATCCTGTGAGTCTTGATCATCTCAGGCAGCAGTCTTGAATCTGTTCTGGATGTAGAACTCTGTCATCTGGGCCATCTTTTCCTATCGGAGATTTCTCAGGTGGTCTTCCTTTTTTGAACCTGATTTTTCTTAACTCAGAATGAATCCACAGCCTCTCATTTTCTGTGGAAACAAAAGCAAAATCTCTTCTCCAAAGTAACATACCTTTTGACTTCAGTTTTGAAGCCAAGGTATTTTCAAAATACCTATCTTGGGTTAGTTCAGCAGCATTTATAAACAAAAGTCTTTTAGCAGCTGTTGCTCCTTCCTCAGCATTCAAACAATTCAAAGAGAACATAATAGCATACAGTATCAAGATTCTCTGTGTATTTTCCATCTTTATGCGGCTTCATTTCAATTTCTGTTTCTTTTCTTTTTACTTTTAACTCTTGGCTTTTTGAGACAGGTTCTCTGTATATATCTTTGTCCTGGAATAACTGTGTAGACCAGGCTGTCCTTGAACTCACAGAGATCCATCTGTCTCTGCCTCCCCAGCACTGGGATTAAAGGTGTCTGCCACCACACCTTGAATTCACAGAGGTCTGTCTGCCTCTGCTTCCCAAACTTTGGGATTTAAGGTGTGTGCTACCACACCTTGAATTCACAGAGATCTGTCTCTGCCTCCCAGGCATTGGGATTAAAGGTGTGTACTACCACACCTTGAGGTCACCTAGGTCAATCTACCTCTGCCCCTTGAAGTCACAGAGGTCAATGTACCTCTGCCCCCCAAGTGTTGAAATTAAAGGTGTGTACCACCACACACAACTACTCTCTTTCTTTCTTTACTTTAAGAACTTTAAGTTTTAGCCTGCATACATTTTTAACACACTGTAAACCATTTAGAGGTTTTCTTCCTCTTTGAATCTCTCTTTACTGTATATCTCTCTTTTTCTGACCACACAGGTCTTCAATGGGTAAGAATAAAGCCGTGGCTTTGACAGTTAGATCCAAACCATTCCTTAGCTTTCCAGTCTCATGGCTGAGATACCAGCCAGAGCTGTGTTCACTGCCACAACTCTATGGCATTTCAAGGTCCTTGCCAGCAAGCAAGCTTCAGCATTCTGCTCACAGACCACACTCAGTCGGACTGCCTGCCTGAAAGAGTCAGAGTTTGCCCTGGCAGGACGGCCGGCATTTTAAAACAGCACAGCTATTTTCCTGCTACAGCTGAAAACTGAAAAGCATGCGTTCA